CGGTGACCTCATGACCAGAGTCCATCGGCAGACCAGAACTCTGGATGGGATGTGGCAGACAAAAGCCCAGAGGGCATAGCAGTCCAAGGGGGGTGATGCATTGGAGGGGGGGCGAGCACCATGCTGAATTGCAGACTCGCCCATGGCAGAAGCGGTGGAGCGTGGCGAACCCAGCTTTGGAACCCGTTACCCGCTTGGAGAGAGTTGACTGGCCAGGCTTCCGAACGGGCACTGCTCGGCGAGCAGAAGCTGGTGAGGGGCTCAGGGCAGATGGCAGACGGTTACCCTGTGAGCCCCGCTGGGCCATCAGTTGAGTTGTTAGGGGATGTGGTAGGTAGCGATGCCCAGTACTTGCGGCATAGAGAAAGGAACAGCCCATTATTCTCTAGCCAGCCGTGATCAAGGGTTTTGTTGTGGCATAGCTCGCTCAACCTGATCTGTAGATATGTGGAGTGGGCATCGATGACCCAGGGTAGTGTTGTGGCCAGCACGCTCAGCCCGGTCGGTAGGTGTACGGAGCTGTCATCAGTGATCAAGGCCAGTGTTATGGTACCACTCGCTCAGCCCGATCAATTCCAGTAGTGGTCATCAGTGATCAGGGTATTGTTGCGGCATAGCTCACACGACCAGATCATGTAGATAAAGGTCCGGGATAGTGTTGTGGCATAGCTCGCTCAACCCCGGCCTGTTCATTTCACTGGGTCTCTCCCTGTCAAGGCCATTAATCTCGGATAACGCAAAACTGCACCACAAAGGAGCGGGGCAGCTTGCCAAGCTCCGCTCAACGGCCAGACCCATATAGCATTGAGCCATTATTAATTGAACGTTCACACCACATAGAGAACAAAGGGCTGCCCAGCCCTGTTCAACGGCCATCCACAACACACTATGGTACACAGTGGTTTTAAGACCAGACATTTCAAAAATTTTTCCCCATGATATTGTGCTTTTAATCAGTTCACTAGTATCTAATGAGATAATGTTCACCAAAGAAAAAATTGTTTTTTAATAATTTTACCATATATTCCACCGAAGTATGCACCTTAGCTATTTTGAAGAAAGGTAGGCTTGTCATAGTTGAAAAAAATGTCAACAAAAAACCCTGCTTGTCAAAACCGAAATTATTTCTTCAGATAGAAACCTTTGCATTTTTTTGTAGCTTGTTAGACGCTCTTTCAGCTGATATAAATTTGCTTTCGAAAAAATTGGATAGAGTGCAGAAATATGCATTTACTTTTTACAGTAAACTGTGAAAAGTACCAAAAAAGAAAAATATACATCAACATACGGTTGTTGATGCATTTTTACAATCGGCCATAAACGGCCTGGGCAAAAATGTCTAGTTAATTCATAAATTGATTGACTGATTAATTGGCTACAAATATAATCAAGCGAAAAAGTCACGCAATTCGTCATTGTGCCAAAAAAACCCAACTTAAAAGCCGGTGCAATGCAGGATTTGACGTTATTTCGAGCGCAATGAACAGCGGCCTCTATTGTTGAGACATGTATACTGCAGATGACGTCACGCCTATTGGCACTCCGTTTCATCGCATTTGCTCTAATGTCATTGACTTCGTTGTAATTGTGTAGACTTTGTGTGCGAAGGTTAGTCATAATTTGAGGGTTATAACAAAGCTTAAGTGGAATTTAAACTGAAAAGTAGTTGAAAGCACTGTCGCTTTTTATCACAGGTAATGTCGATTGTTGATCCCAACGAACGCTGGAGGGTGCAGGAATATTTTTGTTTGCACTAGTTGTTATGTAAACCAGCCAAACGATGACATTTCTACCTGCTTGTGGCTTATCTCGGACTCGGTGTTGTGTCGTGGCCTGGGATATCAGATAAGAGTGTTTTTCAAACTGCCTAGCAATTGGCTAAATAGGTATCTGATTTGGACCTCAGCTCTTCTGTTGCAAAATGTTTCAACACATTTTGTGGGTTTTATTTCTATGGAAATGTTGCTTAAAATTTTTGACAAAGACTTCTGAGAAATACATAATACTGAAATTAAAACTGTGGGTTTTGGCAGATAAAAATCATGACAGAACATGGAGGCATTACAGGTACCTCTGTGGAAAGAAACGTGGTTTATTTCAACTTAAATACATACGTAATTCCACACTCTGACCTCGCAGGTTCAGAACACACTGAGGGAACAGTCGCCCAATGAATATTACTTCTTTAGGAATAATTGAGAAACATGACTGAATGGGAAAGAGAGTCACTGGGAAAAGGTAACTTCCTAACTTAAGATTACTTCATATTTCCAATCACTAAAATGTTTAACGAAAGAGGGACCGAGACCAAATGAGGAACTTGCTTTATTGATATGATAGCTCTCAAATAAAGAAAAAACATCGTTTTCATTTCATTTTAAAAATGCAATAAATTCAAAAGACATTAAATTAGTGAAAAAGAAATGAAGTCACATGATTTCTTTTCATAATTTCCCCCTTCCTTTCCTGTTATGTTGCAATGAAATACAAATGCATAATGATCTCACTTCCAAACTGAGGTGATCATCTCTTAAAAATTATCACAGATTTTTTCCAAAACTGCTGCAGCCAAGGGGCGCATGCTTGTTCTCTCCAGACTTTTTAATAACTGTCAATAGAGGGTGCCATCATTCACGGAGATCAATAATAATATGCTTTTGCCAATGCAACCATTGCAAAAATGTCTTCCTGTAACCAAATTGAAAACCTATGAGGACTCTAAATAAGTTCTAAATACTTGTTAAATTGTTTTATCGATGGGAGTGAAAATAATCTGATAGTATTCACTGATGTGTGGGTCAGGTAGGGATTTAAACCACTGGGCGGTAGGTCACACCCAAACTCGTAGATAATGCACAGAAAACAGGGGCAGAAAAGAACAAAAAAATGTACGAAATACAAGATATGAAATACAAGATTAAGCACTCTTACCAACAGATAAGAAATCACTCTTTATTCATAAACAGAAATCAAGTCAATTCACAAATGCGAAAGGTACGGAACTCGAAACTCCAAAAATGCCATAAAAGACACATCCGTAAACGATAGGCACTGAGAAAAGGACAAACATGGTGGCTGGATCACAGTGCATTGTGGAGGGTCAAGGGGCAGAATGCAAAATCAAGTCTTTTCAGCGAATTGTAATAAGCACATGGAAAATTTGCATATGTAGGCTGGGGACGGGTATGTGAATGCAGGAGACCTCGTAATTTATATTAACAACCTGCACTTTTCTTCCACACTGTTATCATTTCTTATATTTGCAGATGATACTACAATAATTTATTCTAATACCAACCAGCATTCTCTCAACTAGACTCTGAATATTGCACTTGGAATGTCTTCATCATGGTTCCCAGCTAACAGACTTTCTCTAAACTCTGATAAAACCAAATGTATGTTCTTTTCCAAGTCTGGATGAGGACTATTAATCCTCCCATTTAAATCAACAATTCATCTATTTCCCAGGAACATTCTGTAAAATTCTTAGGAGTTACACTCAACGATCAGTCAAACTGGAACGACCACATTCTTTGATTGGTAAGATCACTTCACAGAATTCAGGTGTCTTAGGAAAGCTCCGCTCTTTCCTCCCCCTTCCACTCTATTCACCCTTTACCAAACCCTAATCCTTACTTCAACTATTGTAACATTGTCTGGGCACGCTCAAGCTACAATCAACTCCACCCACTAATAACCATTCAGAAAAGAGCTATTCACATGTGCTCAATCACTTCCACAGGCAAACACAGCCTCTATTTTTGCACGACTCAAAACACTTACACTCACTGATATAAACAAACTTCAAACCGGGATTTTATGTTCAAATACACAAACAATCTTCTCCCAAAAGCCTTTTCTTCTTTCTCCACCCCTGTCCACAGTGTCCATGACTATCCCACACGGTCTTGCAACAATCTGTATCTTCCATACACTCGTACATCCTATTGGATTTATACTTTATGATTTCAGGGGCCATGACTTTGGAATGGTATCAGCACGATCTTAAAAACACGATCGTCTGTAGGCCGTTTCAAAACGTTATACAAAAATGATCTTCTCTATAGTTATTTAGCATAATTTAACTCTCAATTCCATAACTCATGTATACTTTATTTTTTTGTTCTATTGTTCATATTATAGCGTTGTATAATTACTTCCATCTGTCATTTCCATCTGTCATCTTTTTGTTTCTTGTCTGTTTGTTAGCCTGTGAACTGTAGTCTGTCTGTTTTCAAGCCACTTCAGTACAAGCCCTTTTGATTATGCCTCGGTAGTGCAAATGTCATCTTAGGTACTACTGCTTGTATTATTTTCGTTATCCTGGTTAATTGTAAACACACATACCACTTGAATACCTTATATATCGAAATAAACGTCAATTGAATTGAATCTCCAAAAGAAGGAGATGATTCAGGAATACTCACGAGAGAAACAAACCTTGAACTGGCTAGAGGGGTATTTTGAAAAAATGAAGTACAACTGTTGCTTCAAATCTTTGGAAATTTACCATTTTAAATGTGTTTTGACTTTCTGACTTTCTTATTCATTAACAGGAATAAATATGTGCTTGGCTGGTGTTTACGACTGGCTCTGGAGAATGGACACAGCGACTCAGGTATTAATTGCATCCATACTCCTGAGCTGATCCGAAACAAATATTTAAGACTGGCAAAGCACGTATTTTTTCCCTTAAGGAAAATTTAACATGCTGAACACATAAATCAACTAGAGAATCCAGCTTTATTTTGAATGCATTTTCATTTTAAACATGTTGTCAAGAGGCTTAAAAAGTGGTAACAATCAAATCCCCTTCCCTCATCCAGTGCTTGCAGCTAAAACAAAACTGAGGAATGTCTCTTTTCTTGTACAGCGTACAAGAAGCTTTTCCCACTTGTGAACCAAATAGCAATTTGGACTTCAGTTTTGCCAAGGAATATCAGAAACCAAAAACTTCACTCATAAAAAATTAAAAAGTAGAGCTTGTCTGGGTTACTTACATATTTCCATCCCAAAGTGGTCTTACAACATTCACAGAAAATGTCTGAGACAGCATGCAAGCCTGTGAGTAGAACCCTCTCCTCTGCAGGACCACAAGCGATGTTCACCCTAAATGAACAGAAAAAAGGCAGCACAATTTCTACACATTAACAATAGTGTATCATCACTAGTGTACTGTAAAAATAACCCCCAATGTTTCATTTGAAACCCCTTGTTACCCACTTTGTGAATTTTCCTTTGCATATGTACGCTACATATCCTCACAACAAGCCATAATGTCCTGGCCACTAGTAGGAATAAACCATGAATGCTAATTCAAGAAGAAAAGCACTCTAACCAGTACCAGCATTCTGTATGAATGAATTGCACATAAATACAATATATAAATTGTACCTAAACAAACAGTTACATAAAAACAGTCAAACTGTGAAAAGAAAATCATACTCATACATGTACATGCAAAACACCATTTAAAAACAATCAATGCTTTGTAAAAATGTGAAAATTGTCAAATGACGAAGCATTTTTTAGGTAACACCAAAATCATACCAAAAATATTACACAAGTGACTTTAAATGGTGATTAGTCAAAAACAGAGGAAAGTTTGAGTTAAATTACAAATGTCATCTTCAGATTGATCTAAAATCCCTTTAACTTTTTATGACAACAAACATGTACAATGTGGCATGTACCAGTGCATGTACGTCTTACACCTCTGAAAAACAAAATTTGGCTATACGTTGTTAAACCTGAACATTCTGAAGGTGCTAAATGAACATCACTTTTCTGTAATACTAATATGCTCATTCTACACCTCAGAAAAACAAAATAAATCTGAACATTCTGAAGGTGCTAAATGAACATCACTTTTCTGTAATACTAATATGCTCATTCTACACCTCAGAAAAACAAAATAAATCTGAACATTCTGAAGGTGCTAAATGAACATCACTTTTCTGTAAAACCAATGTGCTCATTCCACTTTTAACTACTTCCTGCCAGGGACTCTGGTATCGGAGACATATGGTTTATATGGGTGGCCGGGGTCTCTGAACTCAGACAAAGGAAACAGGGCCCTGTAACAAAAGACCATACTCTGAACAAAAGACCAGGCTGCTGGGCATGACCAACATTTTTCACTCTCAAAAGTGGTGATAATCCAGCCTCGTTTTGAAACCGTATACCAGGGTTTGGGATATTGAGAGCGAGCGGACTACCACCGGGGACAAAAGCGCTCCACCACTGCAGCGATGAGCCACACAGCACCGCTGCATGCTAATCTGGCCCCTATTGAAAAGAGGTCAGCAGTGCACTACACCAGGTTTGTGAACAAAAGACAGTTATA